TGGACCAGGGGGAGTCTCAGCACAATAAGGCCACACCCTCGAGCAGCAGAACATGGAGAGCGCCGGGGCAGCCGCTGTGGCTGGTTACAGAACCCACTCTTTTCCGTAAGCTTCCAGGGACCGCGCCCGGTTCTGAAATGCCCCTCTGGTCTCAGCCGGCTGGTGGCCGGAGCTCAGCTGTTGGAATGAGGCCATGAGGCCCCGCGGGCGCTGGACTGTCCCTGCAGTCTTACGAGGAAGCCCAGCCCCTTGAGACAGTACTGGAGACGGAGCGCTCAGGAGATGATCCAGGTCAAATGGGGCCATGAGGGTGGGCCCTGACCCGATGGGACAGGTGTCCTCGTAAGAAGAGGCACCAGGGCTTCTTCTGCCACCTGAGAACACAGCAAGAAGGCAGCCAGCGGCGTCCAGCAGGAAGGGGTCTCTCCAGAGCCGGACCACGCCGGGCCCTGACCCCAGACCCGTGGCCTCCAGAGCTGAGGGCAACGAAGTGCATCGTGGCCGCGGGCTCTCCAGTAATCTGCACGGTTGGTCCGGCCCCAGCCTGGGCCTGAGTTTCCTGTCTGTGCACCGAGATGTCCTCCAGCCCACGAGGTTGCCTCTGTCGGGGGGACGGGGGGGGGGGGTTCAGGCCCCACCATGGCCGGCACTTCTCAATCAAATCGCTGTTTGCCACCCTCTGCATGGCCGTGCTCCCTTTGATGACAACGGTCTCCAGGGCAGGGCTGTGGGTGGAGACCTCCTGCAGGCATCAGGCTGAGCTCCCCGTCAGCAGTTCTCTCATTTGTTCTTTAAATAGCATCATAATATTAAATACGCCTTTTCTGCTCAGATGCCACCACAAGCCAGAGAAGCAGAGAAGACCCGTAGCCTCCTGGGGCCACTCAGTTCCCCCACGTACCCGGAAGAGAAAACAAGAGCTGGAAGCTCAGAAAGCCGAGGGAGGCTTTAAGACTTTTGATATCAAAGAACGTCGGAAACAACGCTGAATGCCAGCGGCTTTCGGGAGATGCAGACCACCCCGCGGTCCCCAGCCCGGGTGAGCACGCAGCTGGCGGGGCCACCGTCTGGCGGAGAAGGACGAGACGTCCTGAGTGCTAGCGAAGCCCCGAGAACACTGCAAACGAAGGCCAGCAAGATGGTGGACGAGCACGGACGGAGCTGCCACGAGGGACGTGGAGCTGGAGGGTGGGAGTGACAAACCCACGATACGAGCCACAGAGGGAGGTGCCCGTGCTGCCGTTCGCGTGACACTCCAGGATATCATGTAAGGGGCTCACGGAAGCCTGCCTCCCCCAAAACAACAGAGGATGCAAACATGCAATAAAAACATATACAACACTGCACACATGTTAACACACACAAGCGGTCCAGGGATGTGCACGGGGTCCAGGAAAGACAGGCACTGGATCAAGACGGCGGGGGGGCAGAGTGGGGGGGCGGGTGCGACGAGGGTTCAGGACAGAGAACACAAGGGCACCGACGGCACCCTCATTTCACTCTGGACAGAAGGACAAGCACGGAAAAGCGTAAACCTGACACTGCCGAGTGGAGGGCGCAGGACTTCCATCGTAGCCTTCCACACCTCGCTGGATGCCTGATGCCAGGAGCACGCAGGAGCCCAGCCCTCGGCTGGGGAGGAGCCGGGGCGGTGAGGACGCTGCCTGGTGGGCCCGGGACTCCTGCGTCTGAGCTGGGCTCCAAACAGACACGGGACAGTGGCCACCTGGGCCTCCAGGCTGAGGGACGCCTGAGTGGGGAGGTGGGGGCCACCGGCCACGTGGGGCGTCCCAATGCCCCGCATCCTTAGCACAGAGCCTGTCTTTGCCTGGAGACCGGCGGCTTTTCTTCTGCTGGCTGACCAGCGAGGCGAGTTCTGGGAACGGCCCTAAGAGGAGCCCTGAGACGAGGGTCTTTGAGCCGCTGACAGCTGACGGATGACCGCCCGCAGCACGACAAAGGGGAGCTGTGAGCAGCCGCATCACACCGCCGCGCCCTGGGAAACTAATTGCTCCCAATTGTCCCGGGCAGCATTATTTCTCTGGCAATCATTTTCTTTGAAAGCCCAAAATGAGCATGAAACAACTCTTTTGACCGGACATAAAAGTTAAATGTCCCAATGTTGATCAAATTAACTTCAGCGCTGTGACAATGGACTGTATTTGTGAAGAGATACTGGGGGACAAAGGGGCGCTTTCTGCCGAGATTTCACAGTTGTGATGTAAAAATGTTCCTGAGGACCTGGCCCGGCCGCATTGCACAGGGAGACACAAGAGCCCTGTCACTTGTGGAAAAAAAATCTCACTTCACGGCCGAAAGCTTGGGAGAGTCCAGGAAGGACTGTGTGAGCTGCAGTCTCTGCTGCCGAGTTAACGCCCTAAACGTTCCCCAAGAGCGTGACCGTGCGCCTGGAGAGGGACCACCTGTCCCCACGGGGGGTACAAAGGTGCACGCGGCACACACAGCCCCGCAGAGCCCCGAGGAGGGTCCGAGCCACCCCTCCAGGCAGACAGGACCCCAGGCCCCGCGCAGAGGCCCCAACACAGCCCACTGCAGCGTCTCTGAGCCTGACACCCTTTGCTAATTAGAGGTTTGTCTTCTTTTAACCTTGCAGAGCGAGAGGGTTTTTTTTAATTTTCTTTTTTTTTTTTGGCCCCGACTCGCGGCACGTGGGATCTTAGTTCCCCGACCAGGGGTCAAACCCACACCCCCTGCATCGGATGCACAGAGTCTTAACCACTGGACCGCCAGGGAAGTCCCAGAACAAGAGATTTAAAGGAAAAAATTATTGCACAAAAACATCAGTTATAATTTACCATAAAAACCCAGACGAACCCACTGGCCGCCCTTTATTAACACTGGAAATCCTATTTTCCAACGTCTCCAAGGGGAATCCTTCCCACTAAGCCCGTCACAGCAAGGGCGTCACGGCCGTGGTGCTCTGCAGGGAACATGCATGGCGGGCGCTGCTCCTAGCGTAAACAATTCTGAAAGTTCACACACTTCAGACGAGAGTTTGACTCTCAGGGTTTTTTGTTCTGTTTTAAGTAAGCTTTTTATTTTGGAATAACCTTGGATTCACAGAAAAAGTGCAAACTCAGCACCGGGTACCTCTCGGTTTTAACCCGAGGTCCCCCCACCACCTTGTGGGGACAGGACCTGGGCTGACGTGCCGCCTTTCCCGGGCCTGACACCCTCGCTCGGATGGAAACGCGAGCCTGCGAGGCTTTACGGGGAGATTAAGCCGGGAAGGCGGGCTCCCCTCGGACCCCGCACTGTTTCCCTGCGTCCACGCCGGCCGCAGACAATGTTCCCAGAGGTTCCCAACGCCCTGAATGGGAAACTGTTGGTGGCAGCATCCATTCAAAGGGCCAGCATGGCATTGTCCTCCCAATCGGCAGAGAGAATGCGGTCTGCTGGTGGCTGCCAAAAGGTTAGCATCCCCGATGAAAGGGCGGCCCGTCATTCACCGCCGACAGAGCGGCCCTTTGTGCGGGCGGCCCGGCCCCGCGCGGCGGAGGTCCGGATGCGGCTGGCTGAGCGCCCCACAGAAGCCCTTCATGGGAACGCAGAGCTGGGGAAGGGCCCGAAACCCAGAGGCCGCTTTCCCGGGGGCCGCAAAGCAAAGGCGGTCTGGGGCAGTGACACATCCTCAGGCCATCCGTCTGACGACCTGACCACAGCCGCCAAGCCCAGCTCATTCCCCATCCAGCCGGCTCCGGCCCCAAAGGAGGCCCCAGAGAGGGCCCGGGGACCGCAGGGCCCCAGCCGCGCCCCAGCCGAGCAGCCCCGGGAGGCCGGTCTGGCCGCTGCGAGATGAGCCCTCCCAGGAGGGCCGCTCCCAAGTCTGATGTGACCACACGCGCCCCTGGGCCTCCTCCCGGACCAAGGCACCGTGCGCGTCAGGCCGGTGCCGCGAGGGCGGACAGCCTGGGGCCTCAGCACAGACTGGGCGATGCTGGCGCCTGGCTGCAGACAGGGTGAGGGCAAGCAGATCCCCGTGTCCCCCACGTGGGGGCCTCGGATGGGGCAAGGGGCCTGATCTCCGGCAGCCCGGAGGCGAACTGGCGGCCACTGTCTCGTCCCGCTGACTGGTGGCATGAGGACAGGCTCCTGGCCTTCCGGCTCCGTCCAGGGAGCGTCTCGGCCGAGCACGTGCACAGAAGGAACAGGCACAACTCATGGTCTGGGCAGGCTGGCGAGGTCCTGGGGAGATCTGAGACCCCGCCCCAAGCCCAAGCGGACCAAAGGCCCCACTTAGGGCACGGGCGCTGGTGGGAGAGGACTCCAGCTGAGGACTCGGCCGCTGGACGCGCTCCGGCAAATCAGGGCCCAACGCAGCCTGTTAATTGGGTGTGAGGAGCTCCCTTTCTTTCCCAGATGACAGCCCATCAGCGGCGACCCCGTGAGAGGTCACATGAGACCATCGCAGACAGAGGGAGGGCCTCAGAGGGCCCAGGGGGGAGGGTCCTGAAAACCAGCTGTGACGGGGGCCAGGGCGGTCGGAGGGGTGTGCTGGGAGCCGGGGCAGGTGATGGGAGGAACTCGCGCACTCTGACGACCACTGAGGCTGCCTCCCCTCTGGCCAGGGGCCCGCAGCCGGGCTGGGAAGCTGGGGCAGAGCGGTGCGGGAGGCGGCGCTCCGCCGGGCAGGGCAGACCTGCCTGGCCAGCCACTCCAAGGGGCCTATAGCCGGAGCCCGGTGGGGGGCCAGAGTCTGGGAAGACTCAGCCCGCGGCCAGCGGGACCCCAGGCCAAAGGAGACCTCCGTCTGCCATGGCTCATCTTCCCCCCAAGACGGAAAAGAAAGTGAGGCCACCCACTGTCCAGCGCGTCTGGACAGGATAACGGGAGCCTTGGGGCAGGGGTCGGGCTTTGTGCATTAGCCCTGGGTCGACACTGGCAAGTTCCGTATTTTGGGTAAATACGAAAAATGGCTTAAAGAGCAAGGCGCGCTCCTCCCCAGAGGTGGGCGGCGGGAGGCCCCCCTCAGTACCCACCTGTCGAGCACGTAGCCCAGGGCCTTGTGCCGGATCCCCGAGTACACAGAAGGGCTGGTCTCCCAGGCAACCAGGTTGGAAGCATCGTGGAAAAGATGGATGTTCACCAAGTCGAAGGCACTGCGGGGACAGAGACAGGAAGCTCGGAGGAGGGCTGGAGCTGCCCGGCTGCCTGGGCCGGCCCCCCATGCCGCCCCACCTGGCTCCTCAAGGCAGGTGCACCCACGCTGCCCGGGCGTGTCCTCCCCTGAGGTGTGGTCAGAGGACACACAAGACCTGGAGTCCTCACACAGTGAAGTCCCCACACGGACACGGGTACTCGGCCAACGGAAAAGGGAGCTGTTTCTCTGAAGAAAGGGACCTACACAGGATCCCAGGAACTTTCCTCAGAATGGGGGGCGGGGGGAGCGGGAGGGAGGCCGGGGAAGGGGCGACGGGAGTGGGGAGGGGGGACAAGGCCCCTCCCCAGGCCTTAGCTCCCTCCACGGGCAGCTGGTGCTACAGCCCGAAGCCCCCTGTGCCGCTCAGTGCTCACCATGGGGTCCCCTGCCATAGGGGTCACTAAGGGATTCATTTCACTCCCCAGAAGAAGCCCCAAGCTCACAGCCCTTGGAAAACCCTGGGGAAACCCCGGCAGCCCAGTGTCGCCTGGGCTTCTGCAGGGATGTGGCGAGGCGGGTTTGGCCTGTCAGCCTCTCGTGCCCAGGGAGCCCTGGGGCATCGCTGCAGCCTGTCTGCCGCACAGAGAGGGGGGGGCCATCCGCAGAGCTGGGACCACCGGGCCCCACGATCCAGTGAGACACGTGCGCTGACCTGACAGCACTGTCCTGGGCCGGATAAAGAGTTCGAATTCTCTCCTATGGCCTCATGAGGACCCACTGACCCCAGGCGGCCACCCCGTGCCCCTCCCACGCTGCACCGGGGGGGCCCGTGGGACTGAGAACAAGGGCAGGAGTTGGGGGGTCAGGTCAGGAAGGCTGCGGCTGTCTCAGCTCCCTCTCACGCTCTGGGACCCTGGCCTCAGGAAACGCCCTGACCTGCGTGGCCCCAAGGAGGGGCCCGCGTGGAAATAGCAGGGGGGCCGCGGTCACTGGCTGACGCTGGCACCTGACGGGAGTGCAGCTCCTGAGGATGGGCTGCAGCCTTGGCCTGAACAAGCGGTCAGCTAGCGGCAGGTCGGGCCTCTCCCCAGGGAGACACCCCAACCCCAGGACCTCACAGTGCAGACCGTGGCCTCAGTCCCCCGGGCCCGACCCCAGGTGGCCGAGCGCACGTCAGGGAAGCAGGACCCGCTGCTGGACGCAGCAGCAGGGGGACCACCATGGGGAGGGGCTGCCAGGGCACCCACGGGATGGGGGGGCGGGTAGGAGTGAGTGCTGGGACACCAGAGTCATGTGCCCGGCAACCACGCTCTGTGTCACACAGAGTCGCCAGAACAAAAAGGGTCAAAGAGTAGAGGGTCGGGTCGGGTCGGGCAGCCTTTGACGGAAGTGCCCCCGCAGTGCTGAAGGGGGGCGTCCTGGGACGCAGGGGACCACGGTGGACGTACCAGTCCGCAAGGCACCACCTCGTCCGGATGAAGCCTTTCCTCGACCACTTGCACTGAAAAACAAACAGGTCACACTTGTCAGCAGTGAGGGGGGAGGAGGGCACGCCTGGCTCACAGGCAGTCGGGGCGCCGAGAAAAGTGGGACCACACGGGCTCCGCACTGGCTGCGGGCAGGGAGGGGACCACGAGGCACGACCACCACCATCTCCCAGACCAGCTGCAGGGGCTCAGTCGGCCAGGCCATGGGGGGCCCCAGTGGACAGGAGGACGCCCTTGGCCAAGTTCAGGGGGCCCCGAGCGGCGGCGCCAGCAAGACCTCCTACGCAGCTGGCGGGCCTGGCGGGTGACAGGACGCGTCTGAGCCGGAAGGAAGCTGCGCGGTCGGTGTGGAGAGGCCGCCACTAGCGGGCTCGGGGCCTGCGGCGTCATCGCTGCGAGAGAGCCGTGTGGGACCCCGGGAGGCAGACAGACACAGAAACCCCATCTTTACTTCTGCTCCACCAACCCCACCTCAAAGAAAGGAACTTCTGCTGGAGAAGCTGGGAGAAGCCTCGCTGAGCCGCCACCCGTCCTGCTGTCCCGCAGCTGGGGCGGCACCTGCCCCGCCCAGCGTCAGCGGCCACGTCCCCTCGTGCTCACGCTGGGAGGGGAGGAGGGTGGGATGCAGCCGGGCTGCCCAGCAGCCGCTCTGTGACGAAGGACGTTCCGTGTTGGGGGCCGCGTGTGACAGTGTCACAATCAACTTTCACTTAAATGGCCACACAGCACAGGGTAGCTTCACGGCCTGAGCAGTTTTGGGAGTGGGGCTCCGCCCGGCACCCCTTGCAAGTCTGCGGGAGGCACTGGGGACCTTCCTGAATCCCTGGTGGCAAACTTTAGGGTGCTGGAGGGAACGTCTGTCTTCTCCGGGACCCTCCGCCCACGTCCCAGGGCAGCGTGTCAAGCGTCCACGGAGCACAGGGGCTGGTCCTCGGGCCGGGGGCATGTGGGGCTGTGCCGTGGTGACAGGCGGGGGCAGAGGGTGGAGACCGCGTGGTCCCGGAGATGGTAGCCGCGTGGGACCCAGAGACCGACGCGGCGAAAAGCACTGCCTCCTGACGGCCATGTCCAGGGAAGCGGGGGCCCAGGTCAGCCACGCATTTCTTTACTTCATGCAGACAGTTCAGCAGCTAAAGCGCTCTCCACGCGCCTCCCTCACCACCGTCCCATTTGTTTCTACTCCCCCGACAGCCAGCCGTCACGAGGGGCTCCTCTCTCTTCTGCTCCGTTCGTTCGGCGCCCCGTGGGCTCCTAACCCCATCCCTTGCCCAAACTGCTCTCACAAGGTCACCACGGCCTTGAGCTCCTGACGTGTCCTCAACCGGACCGCTGATTCGCTGACCCTCTCTCTGACCATGTCCGGTTCAGAATCCAGCCCGCTGTTCAGCGCAGCACCTGCGGGACCCAGGAGCCCTCGAGGTTGAGAATCGCACCCAAGGTCACATGGCAAGTGGTCACCCGCTGGGGCAGGCCGCAGGGGAGCCAGGCTGGACGTGGGCCCGGTCAAATCCACCCGAAGGTCCGTCACCTTCTCCCACTGCCGCAGGGGGAGTGGGAGGGGGTCGCCACGCACACCGGCTGTTGAGGGCGCCCCGCCCCCCCTCAGCCTCTCCGGGAGAACCAGCGACTTGTCTTCCGTCTGCAGCCACGTCCTGCAGAGAATGGGAAGCAGGTGCCGCCACCCTGGTGCCCTCGTGCACATTCGGAAACCAGGAGCTGCAGCACAGGGCGGCCTGACTCCTGGGCTCAGGGCAAGCCTCCGGAAGCGGGACCAGGGTCTGGGCCGGTTCCCTGGGAGCAGCCGGCAGGGCAGCCTGTGGTCAGCACACATGTAGGGAGGCTGGGGCCTCCAGCACAGAAGCTTCCGGATGCAGGTGCTCATAGCAAACGGAGGCGGGGTGCAAGCGGGCGGGGCTGGGCCTCCTCTGCCTCTTCCCAGCCCCGTGCACGCTCCCAGGCTCACTGGTCATCGGCCGCCTTCTCAAGCCACCCAAGGCTCCAGGCGACGGCAGACGGGACGGCAGTGGCTGGGGTGCCCCGGGGTGCCCACCCCAGTTCTCAGAGAGGCTCTCACACTGGAGTGGGAACCATGTCACGCCCGGGTCTGGGCGGGGGCGGTGGGGGGGCCGCCACATCATTCACCTGACAATATTAAGTCTCTGCTCAGATGCCCTGTTAATAGGATGCCTTTACAGCAGATGGATGGCGAATACAGGCGGCTTCATCTACTAAAAGACGGCATAAATCACGGTGAGAAAAGGGAGGCTGCGGGAAGGTTATCACCCACCCAGCCTCCCCGTGAAAGGCCCGCTTCAGAGCATTAGTGAAATTAATTCATCTTTCATAAGAGCTTGGAACAGTCCCTGTGATGCATGGAAACAACCGATTTCTCACTACGGGCAGGAGGAATAAAATGCCTCGGCCCCGACCGACGACGCAGACCTGCTTTTCAAAACGGTCTCGCGCTGTCTGGAGCGCTTCCCCCAGAGGCAGCACGTGGAATCGCGTCGAGCCAAGAGCGCCCACAAGCCACCAGGGAAGTTCTGTCGGTTTTATGTGCAGTGGGCTGTAATTATTTGGAATTGCATCATGCCTCCATCATGGTAATTACGTTTAGATTGCCCTTAAGTGACGGTAATAAAAGAAAGAGAAATCAGTCTTAAACTAATTCCCTCCCCCAGAACGTGTTCCAATAAGGCTAAAGGCCTGGACTGCAGGCCCAGCAGGAGGGGAGCAGCCGCAGCACAGCCTCCTGGGCGCCGCGGCCCTGCCCGGCGGCCTGCTGACCTGACGCACGCCAGGCAGGGGCTCCTGGCAGGACACGGGAGCCCGGCAACGGTCCTGGAGTTTCTTACACCTGAGAAATTCCACGCAGTTGACAGAAACATCAGAAGCATTTGTGTTTTTCTCAATAAGATTTTCCTTCTGTTAATTTATGGAGATGAGGGGAGAATGAACAAGCCCTGAAAACTCGCCAGACCCAGCGGGGCGCGCGCTCGGGCGAGTCCATGGGGCAGAACGGGCCCAGGAAGGCCAGCACCCCGGGGCGGGGGCCACCTTGTCCCAGCAACGCGCCGCTCTAGTCGAGACATCGGGGTCTAACCCAGAGACCCCCCAACCTTCTCCGCCCAGACGCACTCCCCCCTCTGCCTGCGGATGACAGTGAGGCCGCCTGGAGTTGGGTCTGAGGAGGGCTCAGTGCCCCCGGCCGGCACCGGCCAGCACCTCGGAGGGCACAGCAAGCACATGGGGTGTGCAGGGAGGTGGGAACCACAGCTGAGGTCCCCACACCTGCCCCCCCCCCACCACCCACAGGTCAACCTCAGCCCAAGCTTCACAGCCGCCTGGGCCCTGGTGGGAAGAGAAATGCGGGGAGACCCCCAGACATGCCGCGGCCTCTGGGGAGGGAGCCCGCACAGGGCAGAGCCTGAGGGCCAGGGCGGCAGCGGGCAGGCCGGGAACGCAGAGGCTCCCGCCCAGGTGCCGGGCACCTTCTCCGGAGGAAGCAGTGGGGCCCCCTCTGCCCACCCAGGAGGACACAGTGACCGTCACAGAAGGCGCCTCTTCAGGAGCAGCACAGCTCCTGGATGACAGATGCCGGGAGCCTCCAGTGACCCCAGCTCCGAGGGCACAGGTGGAGTGAGAGGACCCCGAATTCTGGAGTCATTGGCAAGTGACGAGAGGATGAGGGACAGCTGTGGGCTGAGCGAGTCCCTGGGGCGACGGGGGCCGCGCGCTGGGCGTCCAACCACGAGCCAGGCCACCCAGGTGCGTCCCAGTCCTTGGCGGGGGGCGCGGAGTGGGAACTCCGTCCCAGGCACCAGGCGTCCCCTGGGTGGGCAGCGGCCTGGGGGAGCACCTCGAGGGAACGGGCGGGTTCGGGAAGAGCAGAGGCCCGTCTGCCATCCCTGCCGCCTACCAGTCCCAGGCCACGGGCTCGCCTTGGCACCTGCCGCGGCTCAGGACTCCAGTGGCAGTTAAAGGGGAGAGCTGCAAAGATACTTAACTGCTCAAAGGGCTGCCTCAAGTGCTCCCCGCCCAGCCCCACGCAGGCCCGGGCCCAGCACTGCCCACCAGCCACCCAGCCCCTGCGCTGATCTGGGCGAGGCTGGCTTCGTGGCCGTCCCCGGCAGCCCTGCCTTCTCTGCCAGGTGCGTGGACCCTGGACGTCAGCAGGGGCGTCAGGGTCCCTCCTGCAGAGCAGCGGCTGACATGCCAGAGCCTCTTCCTCGGCCCGTTCAGGGCTGTCCCCAGCGGGCCTCTGTAAGCTGGCTCTCCCGCTCTTAAGATGCCCGCGTCGGGGGAGAGGCCGAGACCCTATCTGTGGCGCTGCAGGCCCCGCCCCTGGTCTCCCCACAGCTTGCGCCGTTTTCACCGGGGTCCCTGGTTGCTCTCAGGCCAGGGCCAGTGCCGGCTCCCATGCTGCCTGCAGGGGAGCAAGGGTGAGTCTGGATCGGGATGGGCCAGGAGACCGGCACTGATGGCCTCTGTAACTGACTTCTCAGCCTTCGCCCTGATCCGGGGAACCCTGGGCCGGCCTCCTGCTGGACATGTCCACTGGCCAACGTCCCGGGAGGACTGCAGGACTCACGGGCTCGGCCGCACTCATGGAAGGCTGAGAACGGAAGCTTCCGGAGCCTTCTAGCCACACCCTCCTCCAATCTTGGACGCAGAGCAGAGGGGAGCAGTGCCCAGGGGCAGGGGCAGCGGCGGGCGGGGCGGGAGGCGGGCCCCTGACACCGCGTCCTTGGCCGGGGACGCGGCCCATCCTTCAAGGCACCGGCCACCTTTCCTCCACTGCAGTATCGGGTCATAAAGCAAGTTAATAAAGTTGCGGCCTTGCTGAAATTGGCTCCCAGTGCCGCAGGAGGGGCGGCTCCACAGAGTCACGGCGGGCAATCCTCGACCAAGAAGACCTGCCCCGTGGGGTTTTGGGGGCCGTGTGGAAACGCAGCTGTGAGGAGGGGCCGCCCGGCTCTCGGTCTCACCCCCGAATGCTTCAGTCACGGGTCACTTCCTACTGCGAGTCAACAGGCCCCGAAAGGGAAGGTGATCCAGTCTGGATCAACACCTGGACTACACAGGTTACGAGACTCCAAACACGCTGGTCGTGAGAGTATTCGCTGAAAATCCCAGAATCCAAAATTATGTGTGCAGCGTAACGGCTACATAAAAATAACTAGACAAAAATGCACTAAAACCCAGAGGAAACACATGCACGCTTCCTGACTGTGTCTGAGCAGAGGGTGAGAAGTAACCCCGCACTTCCCTCTGCTGAAGCGCACAGGGTGGGGGCACCGGCTCCGAGTATGCAGCTGCGCCTCTCTGGCCACACCCAAGGCTTTGCCAGGGAAGAGCCCGGGGCTCACTCAGCACCCTGGGGATGGGGAGACCCCCCGAGTGCCACTGTCCCAGCACGCCCGAGCTCTCTGTTCGGGTTGCATCACTGGCCAGATCGACCTGCTCACGCTGAGGTTTGCTGGGAGGCCCCTGGCGCACCCCAGGCCCCAAATGAACAGGTTATGGTTTTTCTACCTCTCTGGGGGAAGGTTCCTTTGCCTGGAAACGATGATGATTAGAAAATTTACCTACTGATGTAACGGTAAACACCACGGGCTCTCCCAGCCCTCATCTAAGACCACGCAGATGAACCCACGTGGGTTTTAGAACCTCCCAGGACAGAATACTGGAGCATGACGGCAGCCGGGGGATCCCCACTGTGAAGTATGAAGATTTCACGTCCTAAATCCCACCTGAAAGTAAACGCACTAGTACGAGTGTGGCCGGCGGGGCCCCGACGTACCTCGGGGAAGTAGTCCTGCGGAAACTTCTCTTTCTCCAGCATGGGCGTGCTCTCCAGCGTGTCTGAGTAGATCTCCTTACCAGTGACTTTTTTATACTTCTTGGCTAGGAAAGAGCAGAAGAAGGACCCGGGGGTAACTTCAGTTCTTCTCCCCCTCCCCCCAGCTCAGGGCCACGTGGGGTCCCGCATCCCACCCGGGCAGTGCTGTGGAGGCGAGGGAGGGCCCAGGAGGCAGACCCGACGAGGGCCACGCCCCCAGGCAGGGCAGCTGCTCCCGGGGACGCCGTGGCTCGTGCATTCCCATCCCTGGACCTGGAATCTGACACGGGGTGTCATTACCCGCTCCAAGCTCCCGGCCTGCGGATTTACAGGGGCTAATTGGCATCCTCTGAGCAAAGTGCGACTGCATTTAAAAGGGCCGTGGAGTTACCGTCCACTCACACTTAAGACGAATTCATTTAATAACATGGATTTCCTCCTTGCATCCAGCCAACATCACTCCTAACCAGGGAAGGGGAGTCCTTACGTGAGACGGGGGAAAGGGATGAAGGCCAGGCACTCTGGGCCACCCGCCCTGTCCAGTGTCCCGCGGGCTCTCCCCGCATCTGGCTGACGCCCCGCACACAGGGCCTGGCCTGGTCCTTTCACACCCAGACCTGGGATCGTTCCTTTTCAGAGACCACCGTGGAGTTTAATGCACAAATGTGTCTATTCCTCAAACTCTTACTTGTCTGGTGGGTGGGAAGGCTGTCAGCCTCCCCACGAGATGCCGGCAGAGAGCCCAGGCAGCGGGGGGCCTGCCGAGACCGCCACGGGGAGACCCCAGCCCAGGCGGTCACCAGACTGCCCCCACCGGCTGCCGGAGCCTCACCTGTCCCCTGCTCCCGGGCCAGGACACTGGGGTGAGGGTCCTGGGGTGTGTGGAGATGCATGGTGTTTGGGACGAAGGATGAGCTGTCCCGTCAGAGTGTCTGTGGAGGCCCTGCTCCGCGTCCCACAGGCAGCCCCGCCTGCAGTCTCTGGGCTGCCTGCCCCCACGGGCCCACTGACACACAGACAGCACGTGACGTGGACCCCCCCCCCCCAGGACGGAGCTGCGCTGTACCCACTGCTCCTCTGACCTGGCTCCCAAACCACGGAGACGAGCCTCAGATGACAGGTGCAGCTGGCTCTGAGGCTACCCTCCCACCCCCGGGTTTGCCCATCGGGGGAAACGCAGGCGAACTCACGAGCCAGGAGGCTGGTGCCTGGGAAGGTGGGCACAGGCCAGTGTAAACTAATAAGGCACGAAGCCACGACCCACTCATAACACCCACCTGCGGCGGGAAATGACGCAGGAGTGTTAACCACACGAGGCACTTCCTGTAGCCACCCACCCATCTCCGTGGAAGGACAGCGTTTATCAAACCACCCCGCACAGCCGGCACCAGGGTGGCAGGGGGGCGGGGGGAGTGCTGTCTGCGGGGCACACCTGCCGTCACCGGCACGTCGCGTCCAGCTCCCCTCCGCGAGGCGGACAGGCCACCCCGGCCCCAGAGCGGGGCAGCTGACCGCTCCTGCTGACGGCTGGCCTGTCCCGCACAGACCACCCGGGGCGCCAGGCTGGCAGGCGGCTGCAGCCTGCTGTGTGCACCCGCCCGGGCCTCCAACTCCCCTCCTGGGCCCTCCCTGCACCAGTGGGCACCAGGACGTCCACTGAGTGCCGTGGGGCCCGGCCAGAAGCTGAGGACGCGGACATGGGACGCAGGCACGACCCGCAGAGTGGGCCTGGGCATGAGGCGGGGAGATGGACGTGGGTTAGGACATGGGACGTGGATACTCCCCGAGTGTGGAGGACAGGAGGGTGTCACCTGGGGGGCGGTCAGGGGAGCCCCGGAGCAGGGCGGAGCTGAGCCTGATGGAGGAGTGAGGGGTGGCCCTGGGCCCCCACGAGGCCTCTGAGGAGGGCGAGGGCCGGGCGGAGGTCCAGCCTCTGGCAGCGGCCGCCTCTGCCGGGTCCTAGGGACGCCCCTCCTCCCGACATCCGGGCTCGTCCCTGGGAGGCGCCGAGCTGCTGCTGGGGCCACGCGGGCCCACGGTCTGGGCGCCCTGCAGGGGGTTCTTTATCCCTCCTTCCTACCCCCTTTGCTAACCGCCAGTATCGCCTGGACCTGAGAATAAAGCAAGTTCTTTCTAAAGGTCTGCTCAGGATGGGGATCCTCGTAGCAAAGGCTGAATCACCCCAACAGCCCACTGGGGGCATCGGGTCATGAGCTGCAGAGGGGTGGACGCCCCCCCAAATGGACATCCTCGGGACGCATGGATGCCCACAGGGCAGACGCACCAGCCCTCGGTGAGCCAGGCGGGCACAGGTGCAGGGCCAGCCCTGAGGCATGGGCAGCCACCTGCAGGCTCCTGGGAATGAGGACAGGGCAGGGGCTGCTGCAGCAGCAGGCAGCTCTGCTGAGATGAAACCCCAGTTCCCTTGAGGAAAGAGAAGGAGACTGCGGGGGTGGGGCGGAGGAGGCCTCTTTCTTAAAAATGAGCCTGTATTTGTAGAGCAGTTTGGGGATTATGGAAACTGAGCTGCAAGTGCAGAGTTCCCATCCGTCCCCCGAACAGCTTCCCAGCATCTCGTGTTGGTGGGCTCGTACGCGCTAGGGGTCCCGACAAACGCACGACGCCATGTATCCACCGCTGCAGGGGCACGCAGAGCACTTCCACGGCCCCAACCCCCCTGCTCCACCTGTCCGTCCCTCCCTCCCCCAGCGCCTGTCAACCAGCCATGCTTCTACTGTCTCCATGCTTTCCTCAGTCGTTGGCCACATACTGCAGGCGGCCTCCTCCAGTGGGCTGCTTTCCGTCAGGAACACACATTTTAGGTTCCTCCTAAAAGGTTCCTCCCTGAGTTTCTGTATCTCGATAGCTCACTTTGTTTTACTGCTGAATAACATTCCCTTGTCTCTGGACCACAGCTTGTTTATTTGTTCATCTGTGAAGGACATATTCTGGTTACTTCCAGTTTTTGCTAATTACGAATAAAGTTGCTATAAACATTGCTGTAAAGGTTTTTGTGCAGACATTAGTTTTCAACTCATTTGGGTAAATGCCAAGGGATGTGTAAGAGTATGTCTAGCTTTGCAAGAAATTGCCAACCTGTCTTGCAAAGAGGCTGGACGGTTCTGCATCCCACCAGCAGTGAGTGAGAGCTCCTGTTGCCCCATGTCCTTGCTAGCACGGCGTTGTCAAGTTTTCAGATTTCAGCCATTCTCATAGGTGTGTAGTGGTTTTAATTGTTGTTTTAATTTGCATTTCCCTGGTGACATATGATGTTGAATATCTTTTCATCATGTTTATTTGCTATTTGTATATCTTCCTGGGTGAGATGTCTGTTCAAATCTTTAGCTCACTTTTAAATTGGGTTGCTTTCTTATTGTTGAATCTTAAGAGCTCTTTGTATATGTTGGATAACAGTCCTTTACCAGGTGTGCCTTTTGCAAATATTTTCTCCCATCTCTGGCTTGTCTTCTCATTCTCTTAACAGTATCTTTTGCAGAATGTAAGTTTTTCACTTTAGTAAAGTCCAACTTAAAATTATTTCTTTCATGGATCATGCTTTTGGTGTTGCATCTAAAAAGTCATCACTGAACCCAAGATTCACCTACATTTTCTCCTATGTTATCATCTAGGAGTTTTACAGTTTCACATTTTACATTTAGGTCTATGATCCATTTTAAGTTTTTGTGAAGGTGTAAGGTCTGTGACTAGATTCCTTTTTGTGTGTGTGGATGTCCGGCAGGTTCCAGCACCACGTGTTGAGAAGAGTCTCTTTGCTCTGTTTTGTTCCCTTTGCTCGTGTGTCAAAGATCAGTTGACTGTATTTGTGTGGGTCCATTTCTGGGCTCTGTCTTCTGTGCCATTGATCTGTCTGACTCTTCTTTCACCAACACCACACCATCATGATTGCTGTAACTTTATAGAAAGTCTCGACGCTGGGTAGCGTCAGTCCTCCGACCTTGTTCTTCTTCTTCAATGTTGTGTTGGCTCTTCTGGGTCTTTTGCCTCCACATAAACTTTAGGAACCAGTTGGTCAATATCCACAGAATAACTTGCTGGGATTTTGAATGAGCTTGTGTTGAATCTATGGATCAAGTTGGGAAGAACTTGACAATACTGAGGCTTCCTACCCATGAACATGAACTATCTCTCCACTTCTCTGGGTCTTTTTTGATTCCTTCAATCAGATTCTGTAGTCTTCCTCATGTAGATATTATACGTATTTTGTCAGATTTATTCCTAAGTACTTCTTTTTATATGTGTGCTAAGGTAAATGATATTGTGTTTTTAATTTCAAATTCTACCTGTTCAATGCTGGTATCGAGGAAAGCCACTGACGTATGATTATTAACCTCATATCCTGCAACCTTGCTTACTGGTACCAGTTTTTGTTGCTACTGTTGGTGGTGGTGGTTCCTTGGGATTTTCTATGTAAACAGGTCACCTAAGAATTAAGACAGCCCCTTCCCATCAATAAGCCTTTAATTTCCTTTTTTTTTTTTTGTCTTATTGTATTAGCCAAGATTTCCAGTATGATGTTGAGGAGAAATGGTGAGAGTGGCCATCCCTGCCTTGTTACTGACCTTCGTTTCTCACCATTGATTCTGATGTTAGTGGAGAATCTCTGTAGATATTCTCTATTGAGTTGAGGAAGATCTCCTCTATTCCTAGTTTGCTGAGAGCTTTATTATAAATGGGTGTTGGATTTTATCAAATGCTTTTTCTACATCTATTGATATAATCGTGTGATTTTCGTCCTTAGCCTACTGATGTGACGGATTACATTAATTGATTTTTTGGATGCTGAATCGGGCTTGCATACCTGGGATAAATCTGAATTGGTCATAGTGTATAATTTTCTTATACATTGTTAGTTTTGAGTTGCTAATATTATATTGAAAAATTTGCATTTTCTGTTCATGAGCCTATAGTTTTCCTTTTTTGTAATACCTTTATCTAGTTTTGTTATTAGGGTAAGGCTGGCCTCATAGAATGAATTAGGAAGTTTTCCCTCTGCCTTTATTTTCTGGGCGAGATTGTAGAGAATTGGTATAATTTCTTCCTTAAATGTTTGGTGGAATTCACCAGGGAAACCATCGGGCCTGATGTTTTTAGAAGGTTATTACTTATTGATTGAATTCCTTTCAATAGACAAAGGCCCATGCATACTATCTAGTCCTCCTTGAATGAGTTTTGGTGGATCGTATCTTTCAAAGAAGTGGGCCATCTAAGTTATCAAATCTATAGGCATAGACTTGTTCACAATATACCTTTATCATCCTTTTAATGTCCACAGGATCAGTACTGATGACCCCTTTCTCATTTCTAATACTAGTCATTTGTGTCTTCTTTTTTTCTTGGTTAGCCTGGCTAAAGGTTTACCAAGTTTATTGATCTTTTCAAAGCACTAGCTTTTGGCTTCTTTGCTTTTCTCTCGTGAGTGTCTCTGTTCAATTTCACTGACGTATAGGCTCCAATTTTATTATTTCCTTTCTTCTGCTTATTTTGGACTTCCTTTGCTCTTCTTGTTTTCTCAGGCTGCACAGGAAGGCTAGAGGAGGTGCAATCGGCTATCTCCCTCCCCCGTGGGTTAGGCCCTGATCAGACCCCAGTGGGCTGGGCTCAGGGTTTCCCTGAGGGCAGGCCTTTAAGAAGAACGAGCTGTCTGGGCATACTTCACAATAGCTACCTTCCCCTCCCCTGCCAGAAATGTCTGGGGATCTTCTTTCACCTTCGGCGTGAGAACGTGGTTAGCTTCCAGGAGGTAAAGCCCGCGACAGCGTAGGCCCTGAGCCTGGGTGCACGTCCCCCGCCAGCTGCCCAGGCTCGGCCTGTCTTCGTGTTCTGACCGTGCGGTGCTCTCTGCTCAGTGGGCTCTGACTCTCTGGGCCCGTCTGTCTGTCTCCCCGGTTTGGGGGGCAGCAGTTTGCCCTGTGACCTTGCTCCGCTGAGGGACCTAAGAAGAATCACCCATTTTCAGCTTGTTTGGATTGTCTCTCCTGAGGATTGAGTGACAGCTTCCAAGCTCATCACGTGCTGGACCAGACACTGGAGTCCCTTTCATCCCTTTTCATCTCAAGTTTCTAAGTAGGAACACATTTGTTAAAATTCAGGCTGTTTCTTTTCAAAAGTTGATTCAAACTTCACAAACCTGGATTGCTTTTGCTGTAGTTCAATTCCAGGCAGAAGTGCGAGCCTCGAAGAGCCGGGGCTGTGGAGCGGGGGCCGGCGGCCCACGCCTGCCTGAGACCCCGGCCTCGCCCGCGCTGGGGATCCGTCGGCAGCAACACCTGCCACGCCACGCCCCGGGGTGTCTTCAGACTCGACACAGCCTCCCGCCAGGTTCGCCTGCTCAGGGCACAGCCGCTGCCCGTCTTATAATGGTTCTTGTCACTGATAGCATGGAGGTTTTGCTAGAGTCAAATAAATGTACATCGAAGGTACAGCTGTAAATAAACTGTGTGCTAGCCAGGTACTTTCGGACGAGTTTGATTTAGTAATAAAATATGTCTGCAAACGGTTACTTGGAAGAAGGAAAAGTTCAGCAGACGTGGCACCTGTGGAGCCTGAGGTGCAGGTTTATGAGAAGCGCAAGCCGTTCTGTTTCAGCTTCCTCTGGAGCCGCTGTGTCTGCACAGCCCCTCTGCTCACAGCTCCGCGGCCCGAGGACAGGACACTCGACGTCCAGTGTCTGCTAGGGTCATGGGAAGAGCGGCCCCGGCCCCGGCTCTCGCCAGGTCTGCTGGGCCACTCCAAGCTCCTCGGCAGGAAAGGCAGACGCTGCGTCTCGAGAGCAGAGAAAGCTCAGGCTACAGGGCCGGTGAATGATCACCTGCTGGCTGGGACCCTGTTCTCAACGCTGATGGAATCACTGCTTCCCAACCTGGAGAGCGCGAGCCGTCTCCCGAGTGAGTGGTGGTCATGAACCTGAACAAACCGACACAATCAGCCGCTCCCACAGTTACCTCACCGCGGGAGGCACCTCAGATTAATGCGACCTGGCTCAACAGCCCAAGCGGAGCTCAGACGGGTTTACATGTAGCATGAAGAGACAGCCTGCGTGGAAGATAAAGATAAATGCACACGCGTCCCGCAGACTGACTGCAGCGGGGCGGCGACTCCTCGCGCCGGCGGACAGACTCACGCCCTCGCGTCCTGAGCATCTTAGGTGACTCTTCTCAGTACAGACACACAGCGTTTACCCACTAAACACGGGGCTACATTTTCTAGCTCTGCCACAAACATATGCTCTCGCCCATTTTCTTCTGAAATATGCTACCCTCCAGTTGTGTTTTTCATTTTTTTTACTTTCTCACGTTCGACAGGTACACAGATACAAAACACTTCCCTCTCCTCTTGACTGTATTATAGGGAAGCTAGAGTCACCCGCCAGAGCCGTGAGGGGTGGCAGAGGTGCGGGAACGGGCTGGGACGGCCGCGGGCGGGGCGGGACGGGGAGGGGGAAGCCGCCCAGCACAGGCCGGCCACCTCGGACTCAGAGAAGCCAGAAAGCAGGTGTCCTCACGATTCCCTGCTTAGTGACTGCGCAAACCCCTCGATCAAACCCAGACCATGCGGTGCTCTCGCAGGAACACTGGGTGGGAGGGACCAGGAGAAGCCAGACTAGCGGGCAGGGGTCGGGGGTCCACCAAGATGGAGAATCCCAGAAGACAGCAGAGCACGCATGGAGTCTTACCTTTAAAGTCAAACTGGGAGATGTTTTTTAAGGATTCGTGAAGAAAGTAAAAGCTTCCTAGTGCCTGTAGAGCAAACAGAGAAATGGAGTGAGGCCAGCACGGGAGCGTTTCTAAAGCAGTCCTGAGCGGTGACTAAGCCGCTCTGTGGGTGAGAAAAAGCGTTCAGCTCACTGCAGCCCAATCACAGCCCCCAAACTCAACAGTCAGCCGCAGACACTTCCCGACCCAGGACGCCAGGAGCGCCGGCCCTAGCCAACCCCGAGCAGGCATCTGCCCTGTGGACGCACCCGCCCCGCCCCCTGCCGCCTCCCGTCTGCTGCAGGGTCCAGTGGAGCAGAGGGCGAGGGTCGGGGCAGAGCGGATGGCTCCTGAGTGAGGACACGGCTCCCTTCCGGGCAGCACAGCCTCGCCGTGGCTCCCCCTGCCCCTCGGCGGGCCAGTCGCCCGCTGCCCGGTCCAATCCCTGCTCATCCTTCAGGACTGAGCTGCGACCTCAGAGCCTCCGGAGCCACCGGCCCTGCCCACCCACGATCGACAGCCCGAGCGGCCATGGAGCGCCCGCCGGTGCCAGGAGCTGCTCTGGGCGATGAGTCGGCCCTGCTCGCCCCCCTCAGGAAAAGGCCAAAGTGCAGGGACCGGGCTGGGGGGGGATGGGGCATCTGGCGCCAAAAGTCACTTATTTACCTGGGATTCAGACTTAACCGGGTGTGTGTGTGCGCGTGTGTAGTTACACATCTTTTTCGTGTGTATCCATGTGTGTGACGGGGACTCAGGCATGTGGTCAGTGCCGACAGGCTCCCCACGGCGCAGGCACAAAGCAAACGGAGCGCACCTGCTGCTTGCCGGACTCACCCATCGGGTCTCTGCCCCAAATCCTCTCTGAGAGGAGCTGGGCACCTTGGCGCACACACCCGAGGACCAGCCTCCGCTCTCTGTTCTGACCGCGGACAGTCAAGGCCCCTCCAAGAAGAGGGACGTGGGCAGTACTGGACCCTGGAAAGCTGCAGGACCACACCCACGAGCGAACGGATGTCTTCCCGTTTGCTTGGGTAAAGAAAGCACTCAGGAAATGCATAAGTAAATAACGCAATTGCAAAGATTTGAACTATTGCCTCATTGGATGTGATAAAGCTAACATGATATTAAGAAGTTTACAGTAAATAAATGGAAAATCAATTGCCAATGCAGGTGCAGAGCTGTAACTCACAGAGTCAGAAAATCCATAATTAGCTCTAATGAATATTTCAAGTCAAAGTTCAACTCAACTTTTTCAACGTCTGACCGACTCCATCGATACAGTTCAGGGCCCATTTGTCACAGGCTGTGAGGACAGGTGGCGGGAAGCAGCCTGCCGACGGGACGCCGGCTCGCGGGTCCTCTGACCCCGCACCTGTCAGCAGTGTGTTCGTCATGTCTCAGAGTATTGACTCCTTGCCTGTTTTGCTAGAAACAATTAAAATACTTTTTACATATTTATAAACCTGACTGTCAAGAGTGCTTATTAATTCTCCATTAGCGAAATGCAGTCCAGCCGCTCCTGTGGCCCCGGAGCAGCAGACACAGGGCGGGCGCCCTGACCTCTGGCAGCAGGATGGCCTCAGGGGTGGCCTCACCCGCGGCTATGGGGACCCAAGGCCAGAGTTCTCGCGACAGGGCTCTGAAGGGGTGCTGGGTGCGGACCGGATCCGGCCCGTGTGGCTCCTGGTCCCACCTGCCCGGCTCCACTGGATCCTCGAGGGTCTGCAGTGCTGCGAAGCCAGTCCCCTGCCTGGAGCAGGTTGGCTAACGGCTGACGGGACCACAGGCCACACCTGGGCGCTCGTTTGCCTGCAGGAGCTGAGCTCTGAAAGCTGCAGGCCGCTCTGCAGATACACAGAGCCAGGGCACGGGAGGGGGCCGCAGGCAGACGTCCCCCACGCTGGACAGGAAGCCACGCGTCCGCAGACGTCGGCGAAATGTGGATTTGCGAAGGGCACCACGGACGGAGCCGCCGCCCACCCGCTGCGGGCCGGGGACTCACCGGCAAAAGCTACTGCTTGGAAACACCCCTCCACCTTTTATTTGCAAACTGATCAGACATTCATTAACCGATCATTTCTGCGCCGACGTTAGCGGCCCAGGTACAGGTTAGCCCTCGGCCCCCACGTCCAGTTGGCTCTCAGACAGTTCCGAACCCTCAAGTCAAATCGACTGAGCAGGAAGGGGCACAGGAGCGAAATGTTCTTCTCCGGATGCGATGAAAGAGGAAACCATACACGTGCTTCTCGCACACAACCCCAAGGCGCTAACAGTGCCCCTGAGGGCACCGTGGGAACAAGAAGGCCGGGTCTCAGCTCCCAGGGCGCCTGCAGAAGGGAGCTTCCCTCCTCCAAGTCCCAGGGAACACCCACCGCCATCCCCCAGGCAGGGGGCTCCCCGAGAAGCCAGCTGCTGCATTCTAGGACAGGAGAGGGCGAGCCAGGGGGTCACACACAGCCTAGGGCCAGGGAATCTGCCCATCGGGAAGGCCAACTGCCTTTAAATGCAACACAGCTCCTCCCGGAAGGCACTACGTTACACTGTTTCTACGGATAAAGCATTTTCAACATGTCATTTTTTAAAAAAATAAAATAAATACATCTGAGAAGACGATAAAAACTTCCTAAGACACAGCTGATAACTAATGCTCAAGCCTGCAGCAACCACAGAACGGGAGCTGCTCTGCGTTAGCATCGGTGGGCGTGGACGACTCACGGCTGGAAAGGCCCCTTGGTTTGGAGGTTATGATGAACGCCTGACATGTCACCTGCTCCATCCTGGGGAGCAGACAGCGCCCCGTGGACACAGGGCCCCCAAAGGAGGTACGGCCCTGCGTGTGCACACGCGCTGTGGCGTCAGGGAAGCAGCTGTGCTCAGCTCAGCACTGACAGTCCAACAGGATCAGACGCAAACATCTCCGCCCTCGGAGAACAAAGTTCAGGACGCGAGAGGCTGTGATGGGGACCCAGCCATGGGGAGTGATGGGATGTGGCTGTGATGGGGGACCCAGCCCTCGTAACACGGGGGACCCACAAGGTCTGAGCACACAGCCATGGGGAGACGCACAGCTCCACAGCCTCACAGCGAGTTTACATCCAAGGGAAGCCGTGCATAAACACACACACAGAGCTCTCTCTCGGAAGCCGGGAAGGCAGGCGGCGCTGCCAGAAACACCAACAGACCCAGCGACCAAATGCCTAACAAGGTGAAGACACACTCGTGCTCCAGCCCTGCGGTGGAGCGCTGCACAGCAAGGAGAACAAGCAAACCACGCCGAAAACCACACAGGGGCTTCGCAATGTTGAGAGACGAAAGCTCCTGCACCCTCACAGGGCGTGGCGCCCAGGTAACAGACACAATCAAAAGAGTGCGTTTAAACAGAACGAAGGAATAAAGAGATCGGCACAGAAGTCAGCATGGGGGTTATGGGGAGAGCAGGGCACTAAGCAACTGCTCTAGAAAGGCCTTAGGTTGTGTGGGGGCTTCCAAGGCGTCTGCTGTGCTGGACACTCCCAACGCAACTGTCCCCCCAGAGGTGGCTGCCATCCTCAGTGTCGGTGACCGAGGTCAAGGGCACCCCTGGAAGGGCTCAGAGCCTTCACCAACTTTATCTGCACCATCGTACCTACTCCCTCCTCAGGAACTTGTTTTGATGACTGTAGCTTTGTAGTACAGTCTTAAGTCAGGGAGTCTGAGCCCTCCAGCTCCATTTCTTTTCCTCAACATTGCTTTGGCTAAGGAACTTGTTTTATTTTCCATTCAAAGTTCTATTTGAGAAACGTTTGATGTTGCAACATGTAACATTAGCTTATTTTTAATGCTATAAGATCCAATATACAATAATACTGAAAGTTATTTATCCAGTTTTGCTGTTGGACATGAAGACTGCTTCCAAAGTTTTCACTATTAGAACCAATACTAAAACGAACATTGCACGGTGTCCTTGAGCACATGGGAGAGATACACACCCGCGTGCATTAAATGTGCATGTACGTGTACGTGACATGCGGCTGGGGGTTCTGGGTCACGGTGGATGGGCATCTTCCACACAGGTTTCTACATGGCGCCCAGCAGTGCCTGCTGCCCCACACCCTCGCCAGGACCTGGTGCCGGCACACCTGGATCTCTGCCAGCCGACTGGGGTGAAATTACACATCACTGTCATCTTATTTGCATTTTCCTTAGACTCGTGCCGCTGAGCACCTCTTTTGAAGAGGAGTGGAAACTTGGGTTTCTCCTGTGAACACCTTATTCTTATCCTTTGCTTATTTTCTATTTCCCTTGTCTACTACTTGTATTACAGAGAATTCCCCCACTCCTTGTGGCTTACCTAGTCAGTTTTTTATGGTATCTTCCATGAAATGAAAGCCTTTATTTTTAAGTAGTCAAAGCAGCCGACATAGTCCTTTATGGTTCCGCCTTTACGTCTTGTTTGGAAACAGTTCCCTAGTCTGATCCCACAATGAGTCTCAATATTCCATGTAAAACGTGTAAGGCTGTTTCTTTCCCATTTAGGTTTTTACAATAACAGGGACTTACTCGTGGGTATGGCACAAGGGGAGATCTAGCGTTACTTCATTCCACATGGAATTCCACACTGTCCGGTTTCCCCTTTACGTATGTGACGACTCATTTACCACATCTCCATCCGTTTGGGGATCTGTTCTCTGGGCTCTCGGTTCTGTTCCATTGGTCTATTTCTAATAGCACTTTTTCCTAGTTTAGCTTTATAATAAGTCTTGATATTTACTAGCATAAATAAATGCCCCGTTTTGCTTTTCTTCACAATTGCTTCTGTGATTTGGGGCCCTTTATACTTGCATATAAAACTCCAGAACAACGGCCAGATTACACCCGAAACATCCTGCTGGGGTTAGGATCACACACACAGATCGACTCGGGGACAGCTGACGTCTTGGTGATACTACTCAGTCTTCCTGCCCATAAACATGACATATCTCTAACCACATTGAGGTCTGGTTTCTGGATGGTTAAAGCAGCCAGTTGCTTTAAGAGATTTTAAAATGTTAAGCCAGTCTTGCGTT